TACTTCTCAGTCGGCGGGGTTGCTGGTCTTGATCTTGCCGTTGACGATCTCCAGGCAGAGCACGATCCTCTTCTTCACGCCCCGGCCGCACGTGGTGTTGCACTGCAGGGGTGCAAGCGGGGCCGGCTGAGACCCACGCACCCCGGTCCAACCCTACTGCAGGGCCTCCCAAAACCTCCATCGCCCCCCAAAACCAAGCCCTCGCTCCAAGCACCCCCCCGGCCCAGTTGGGGCTGCACTTACCCGCTCCCAGTCCTGCGCCAGCCAGTGCGAGGGGCAGTTCTTGTCCCCGCAGGGATGGATGGCCAGCGGCTTCGTCTCCAGGTTGCACTGCGACTCTGGCACCACCCGCCCGTCGCTGGTCTTGCAGTACACGTGCCGGATCATCCTGCCCTGCCCGCAGCCGCCGCTGCACTGAAACCGCACCGGGCAGGGCGGACGGTCAGCGGTGGGGAAGGCGGCATGGCCTCATCCCCATCCCCGCGATGGGGACCGAGATGCCTCCATGGGGCTCAGCTGCCTCCCCAACCCCACCTTCCCCAAATCACAGAGGGATCATTGGGAGTCAGCTTAAAATAGCTCAGCGCACCCTTCCCTGGGCAGCCCTGCCGCAGCCAACCCATCCCGCGGGCCCAGCATGCTGGTGCTGAGCAAAATGGGCTCAAGCTGCTCCAGGGGAGATTTAGATTGGATATTAGGAAAAATTTCTTCACAGAAAGGGTAGTCAAGCATTGGAACAGGCTGCCCAGAGAGGTGGTGGAGTCACCATCCCTGGAAGTGTTCAAAAAATGGGCAGACGTGGCACTCTGGGACATGGTTTAGTGGGCATGGGGGTGTTGGGTTGATGGTTGGACTGATGATCTTAGAGATCCTTTCCAACCTTAGTGACTCTATTCTAGTTTTACTTTCATTAAAAAATAATCCAGTCACCAAGCCAGGAAACATGAAATTATTACTCAACCCTTAATTGGTTTAGTGGTGGACTTGGTAGTGTTAGGTTAATGGTTGGACTGGATGATCTTAAAGGTCTTTTCCAACCTAAATGATTCTGTGATTCTATGAAAACTCTGCCTCTCCTCAGGCCAGGTGGGAGGGGAAGCACTGCGAGCAGGGAACCCCAGGGTGGCTCTTGAAGAGGTCAAGGCAAAGGGGACCAAGCAAGCGGCTGCAATTCCCCCCCCGCCCCGCAAAGAGCCAGGCAGGCATTGCCCCGAGCGCCCACGGAGGCAACCAGTGCTCCCCGGCTCTTTTGCGGCCGCTCTTGCGGAGACATAGGGTGTTTCACCGCGCTGCTGCTGCCATGGAAACTACTTATTTTTAGCTGATGCTAGTGTATCAAAAGCTGGGTAAAAATAGCTTGGGATGAAGGGGGTCTCTGTAGCAGAACTGTGAAGGAAGGGAAAGGGGGGGGAAGGGAAAAGGGGGGAAAAAAGGAAAAAGGGAAAGGAAAAAGGGGAGGAAAAAGGAAAAAGGGGAGGGAGGAAAAGAAGGGAAAAGGGGAGGGAGGAGAAAAGGGAAAAGGGCGGGGAAGGGAAAAGGGCAGGGGAAGAAAAGGAAAAAAGGCAGAGGCAAAAAAGGAAAAAGGTTCATTTTCTGGGCATGGAGCATCAGCATTGTCAAGGTACAGAGCAGACAGACGGGGGATTTTTACACCCACTAAGGCCCTCAGCCAGGTGTCTCGGTGTTTAACCCCTCCTGCACCCCATCCCCTGCAAGGGAGGGGCCCCAGGGAGGACCTGCCGGGAAGCCGTGGGACCCATGGGGATGCTGGATCAGCCCCAGTGCTGGAGCCCATCCGCCAGCTCATCCATGCCCTGCGCAAGGAGGAGCCGTGCGAAGAGGAGGGCTCGGTGCTCACAAACACCCTCAAACCCCGGCCACCAGCACAGCGGTCAGGGTGACCGCGCTGGCGAGCAAGTCCTGGGGATGAGACAGAGACTTGACGTGACACGGGGACGAGGAGAGCCACAGCAGCCGAATCATTTGGAGGTCAGCTCCAGGTCTGTCAGAGCTGGGAGCTGCCGGGGAGGATGAATCCAATCCCAAAACTCCCAGCACCGGAGACACAAGCAAGCCTGCGAGCAGGGCCAGCTGCAGCGGGTCATGATGGCCACTCGGCCAGCCACCCCCGGGTCTCACCGGTCCCCAGTCAGAGACGGTCCACTGCCGGTCGCAGGGTGGTCCGGTGCAGTTCTTCTCGGCCAGGGGCCGGGCGCTGGCATCGCACAGCTTCTCGTCCTCCGAGCAGCGAATGTCCCGCGTCACCACGCTCCGCTCTCCGCACCGGGCTGAGCACTGCCGGGAGGGGACGGGGAGAACGGTGTTACCAGGAGCCGCGATGGGAGCTAGGAGCTGCTCGCTGGGGTTTTTTGACATATTTAACATGAAACTCTAAAAACACACACTGACAATGCATAGGTGGCTGTCTGTAAAACAATCCATAGCAAAGCCACCCCTCTTCCCCAAAAGCCTTCAACAGCTTCAGTGGTCAGGTTAAGGTGCAGGAGGGCTGTATCCTGCCTGGGTGCTGTGCGAGCTCTCCACCGGGGGATGTCAGATGCCAGAGGGTGAAAACCCAAGGCACCAAAAATGCTCGATCAGAGCTGAAAAGTTGTAGCTGTCACTAGAGACAGGGTGAGATCTCCCTCGCCTCCTTCCCAGGAACAGCCAGCTCCTTTCCACCTCTTTGGAGACTGCTTTCCCCAAACTGCACAACTGAGATTTTTATGCTGTGGATAAATTTGGCACCGCACAGCCCCGTGACATTATTTAGAACTGGATTTGAGTTACTACAGTCTCACATACACACATTTGCTCCATGCATAACGTAAAGCAGGGAAAAGTGTCAACAGCACAGCGCTCAGACGCACCGCGCTGATATGTTAATCCTCAGATCCCTGAAATGTGCTTTTTTTTTTATGCCTATTTCCCCAGCCAACTTGGCACCCTGCTTCAGATGGGATCCAAATGAGATTAGCTTTGCTGCTGGCTAAGAACGAACTACTCCAGGACTGTCTCAAGCAATCTGTCCCTGACACATGCTGGAGGAGAATACGGATTTCTGTAAAATAAGCCACTCCGGTTTGCTACGCCAGTCAAAATAACGCGCCCGCACGTGCACTGGGAGCTCCTCTCTACCCAGCTGGGAAAGTCAAAACATCCTGCAACACCAAGGAACACACCAGCCCCTCCATCAGCTCAAGGGAAACGACTCACCCCAACTTGAAAAGGTAGAGAGACATTTAAGTTATGACCAAGAAACATTTTTGGGAGCCTCCCAGGAGAAAAAGTCCGATTCCTTGTGGTGTAAACTGTGGGGCAGGTTCACACCCGCGGACAGCTCGGCTCGGAGCTCAGTCTGCTCTTGCTTAGAAAGGGTCTGGGCTTGATTTGGGAGCAGGAACAACATTTGCTCCTTTGCAGAGTCAATGAGCGTGCAGGCTCCAGGGCACAAATGCCACGCTCCGTGCGCAGCCGTCACCGTTGCAGGGGGCTGGCGATGGCATCCTGGGCGAGCTCGGGGACGGACACAGACCTGCAATCTCACTCTCCCCATGCACGCCTGCTTCCAGAAGACATTAAAGAGGCAGAGCTGCTTCCTAGCAATGCATGGGGGCATACTCCATGTGTTTTATGCATTCGCTGTGAGCCATGCTGGTCCCCCTCCCTGCACCACAAGTGTCAATCCAGTGCAACACTGGTGGCAGCCAGGGGACTGGCTCCGGAGCCACCCGAGCTCCGAGACCGGCCCCAGCTCCCCGAGGAAGAGGCACTGGTTCAGTCATTTCCATGGATTTGTGTTTGCAAGTGACTCGCAAGAGCGCTGGCCGCACCTGGAAATGAATTCAGGGGCACAAAGGCTTTCACAGGTTTTCCCGAGCAAACCGACGAGCTAAAGCAAGAGCAGCGCTGCGCCGCCCCAAACCACCTTCCAACTGCTTTAGGGATCTGCTTAAGGCACAGCTAGGAAAAGATTTAATTCTCCATGCGGTGCGGTGAAATTGGAGGTGAGGAAGGGAAGTTTATGGGAATGTAATTCATGTGTGAAGTGGGATCTCCTCCCTGCTGCGTTGTACCGGCTGCCAAGCAAGCAGTGGTGGGAGGGTCTCAGCCGCGGGCTCCTGCCCTATCTCAGCAGGCAACGCCAGCACCTTGTGTGTCATCAAAGACTGTGAGTGACCGATGGCAGTGGCCTTCCCAAGGCTTCATTTTAGGGGAAAAAAAAATTACTGGCGCATGTCAGTCCACATGCAACGACTGCAGCCGGTGTCCTAAAAGGCAGAGTCTCTGATGCGCACGGATGAGTTTCAATCGGAAAAGGAACGGAGAAGCGTAGGCACGTGTGCTCGCCCTCAGCGCTGCCAGGCCAGCAGTCCCCGGGGACTTACCTCGGACCACTCCGACATCTCCCACTGGGGCCCGCAGGCTGGGTTCTTGCAGACCTTGCGCTCGTCCGGCCGGGTGATGTCAGCGGACTCGCAGAGGTCGCTGTAGACGGAGCTGTCGAATCCCGGAGAGATCATCTTCCAGCAGCGGACGATGCGGAACTGGTAGCCCTCCCCGCAGGTGCGGGAGCACTCGCTCCAGCTGCTCGTCTCCCACCTGCAGAGGCGAGAGAGGCCATTGCGCCGGGCACGGCTGGACCCAGGCTGCAGCATCCCACGGGAAAACCCTGCCTGCTCTCGGCTGGAGGGAGACGGCTGCAATAGGAATGAGCTGTAGTTGGGCTGCCAGTGTGCGAGAGGTTTCCCCACAGGATGGGATGTACTAACGGATGGTGGTTTCACCCAGCAGACCAGAGCTCATGCCCGCAGCAGCAGATGCTAAAATCGGATTGACGAGAGGAAGAAGGCACCAGTGTGGTGAGGCACGGACCGGCGCGCTCGCTGCTGAGCGTTTGTCACCCGCAGGCTGCACGCTCCCCAGCTGCAACCCTGCGTGTGCCAGCCCATTTCTCTACCATGCTTTTCACCCACATTTGGCCTCTCTTTTTTGCCTGATCAGCTAAAGGGCAGAGAGGACACAACCACCCACCACCTTGCAAATTCCATCAGTAAACGTCACACGAAGCTGCTTGTGCCCCGGTGGGACAGACGTTCATTTACCACCATCAGTCTAACTCTGCTAACCTCATGCAACGGGCTGGAAGAGCTGGGATCTGCTCCGAGACACTGCCTGCCCCTTACTGTCCCCTGCCACTACTGTCCTGACATTGCAAGAGGAGAGCAGCTTGTAAACCAAGGGAAGAAACATAAAAATTCAGTATTTTTACAGTACAGTAACATTATAAGAATTCTGAATTAAAGAATAACCTAAAAAATGTAAAAATCTAAATGAATCAGAAATCACAGCTCCTCTGGACGTGTGGCTGCCCCATGCATCCCCTGGGGCCACCCGCTGCTGCCGCTCTCCGAGCGGGAGAGCCACATCCCCCGGCTGCATGCCGGTCCCGTGCCCTGCGTGGGGCTCCCGGCACAAGCAGCAGCCGTAGGGAGGTGTCACACATTGAAAAGTGCCACCTAAATTCAGAAGGGAGATGGAACCAAGGTCTTTCCCATCCCGATAAGGCAAAATTCTTTTGGCACTTTCTGTTGGAAAAGCGTGGCCAGCCCAAGCAGCATCCCGTCTGCCTAAGTGCTAGTGAACGTGCCCGGCTGCCCGCCCTGAGCTGCCGGCAGCTCCTTGGTTTACCCACCACGGAGCTGCAGTCACCAGTAAATCCCAGAGCAGCTCTTCTCCCTCACAGTGCGAGCCCGTGGAGCTGGAACAGCATAACTATAAGGAGGGGTGGCTTTATAAAAAGAACAGTGGGATAATCTAAGCATGAAAATAGCCCTAATGCTCGTGCTAAAAAATTACAAAGTTAACGCAAATAGAGATTAAAGTCCCCACCGGTGCCTACAGGGTAGGTATGTTCCCAGCGGTAGCACCACCCACCTCGCCACGCTTTTCTCGCCTCAACTGCAGCCTGCCCTGGCTCTCAGCCTTAACGTGCAAGGTTCAATGAGATCTTACACTGCAAAGGGCACGAGCTTTCCTCCCTCGTCCTCCTTCGCGATTACCCGAGGCGAAAGCAAGCACTCTCCAGGGACCAGGTGCCATACCTGGTCCCTGGCATCACTCTAGTCTTGCTTTGCACTGTTCACAAGTGACACCATTCCAGGGCATGCACCAGACAGCTTTACTTCTCCCTTTGCCCTGTTCGTAGTCTGACCCCATCACAGTCCTCCTCCCTTCGACAGACACCGGTCTGCCCTGCCCATAACTGCTGTTACTTGCAAATCTTCCAACAAGCACGCCCCGTGTTACAAACCAGCAGCGGAGCTGCCCCGAGCCGTACAGCCTGGCTCTGGACTGCAGTCACGCTTTTCGGATAAAGAGCTGCATCCAAAGGGAAACCTTCTGAAGAACTTCCAGCACGGCTTCCCCTCTGCACCAGCTCCTGCCCTGATACAAGTAAACCTCAGTCATGTTTAGGATGCTGAAGGGACCAGAGGGCCGGATCTGTGGCACAGTTTGCAAGCCCGGCCCCTCCACCCAATTCACACACGCATTCCTCCACGCGCTGGCCAGGGCAGGATACTGCCTGTATTGTTAGAAGCCAGACTTGATAGGAGCCGCAGATGCAAACTCTGCCAGGATTTACGGAAGTTTTAACCTGGCAGCTTGAGCTAAAGCACTCAGGAGGAAAGTCTTGCTGAATCCCGACGCAGCCCGGGCAGATACAACTGGGGGAGGAGGGATGGGGGTCCTACGGGCCATCCCT